TGCCTTTTGAAATCTTCTATTCATCTCTTTAGTATCTTGAATTCTTCCCTGTGCCTTGGCTTCTCTGCGCTCCAGTGCAATTTTCATAGTCTCTTGAATATGGAAGGGTTCAAGAGGGAGGTGGAAGGTGTCTGAGAAGGTGGTCCTTTCCATCATGTGTCTTCTCCAAATTGAGTGTCATATGTTTTTGATGTTTGAGGCAGGTACTTACCTGGCTTCCTTGCTGATGGTGCATTCTTTAGGTAATTCTCAGGGTTTTATGTCAGAGTGATTTGATTACAAATCCTTAGTTCCTACAATAGCAATCTCACAGCCAGCCAATCAACCCAGTTAATGGATATTTATTATTTACCAAGACAGCTTTTATTATTGTCTTAAACTTCGACACCTATTTCCTGTCACCCTTTACTTGAACCACAATGTCTGATGTCCTCTAGTCAATCACTATCAAATATTTTTTGGAAATTTTGTCGAGCTCTGTTTCAGTATATGTTAATGTGGAGCTAAGAAGAGAGCCCTGGATCAGGAAAGAAGTGTTGCAGTAGAAGGCTGATCGGTAATGAAGTAAGAATAGACCCAGTGCCAGGGTGGACCTGTGTGCCTGATCGCAGAAGCTCTCTGCCCTCTTCAGTCGTTCTTTTATCAACACCTGTCCACTCTCCATTTAATATTTTTCCTAGATGGACTGTTTCTTCTCCATTACATTGCTTCCAATCTAAAGTTAACCATGCTACCATACTATATAGTGATTTACAGTTTACTGTGAGAAAAATAGAGGTGGGAAGTGCTTGATATTTCTTCATTGACTTAAGAAAATTTAGATGCTCAGTTCTTTTCTTTGTGATTTTCAACAAAGCATTTTTCATGAAAACAGAATATCTAACATTAAATAAGGTAGGTCTGGTGGCCTAGGGATAAGAAACTATACTGCAATCCTGAAGGGATGCAGTTCGATTCCTCTAGCTCTTTTGTGAGAGAAATATGGGTAATCTCCTCCACTGAGGTTAACTGCCTTTGAAAACTTACTGGAGGGTCAGCTATGGGTTGGTTCTGACGTGACTGTATATAAGAGCAACAGCAACAACTGGTGGCTTAGTAGGAAGGAGTTGCTCTGCCAATCCAAAAGTTTACAGTTCGAATCCAACAGCTGCTCTAAGGGAGAAAGATGGGCAGTGTGATTTGTAGCCTCTGAAAACCTACTGGAGGGTCAATTATGAGTTGTGGAGTTTATATTAATGGAACTATTGTTGTTGTTGTTGTTATTAGTTTCTAATATTATGCAGAAAAAAAGGAATACAACTTCTTTATAAAGTTATTAGTGTGTCTTACTCTAAGTAGTCATTTGGAGAAATGAATGAAATGGAAAGATAATCTTTCTGACAAGAATATACTTTAAATACTTTGATTAAAGAGCTATCATTTTATGTTAAGGAGGTTGCCGAAATTTTTAGACTAAAGAATCATCATTTATATTTGAAAGGTGATCACAGTTTTGCTTGAAGAAGATCGTGTGGCAGCTGAACCCAAGTGGAACCTCAGGGCTCAAGACAACACCCTTTCATTTAGTGATAGTTCCTCTCAATTGAACACCAGTCTGCCATTCCTTCAAAGTAAGAGGCCTGCTTTGAATGTGTTCTAACGTCTAGCAATTAAGTTGTTATATTGAAAAAAATCTTTAGTACTATGTACTGTATTAATGTGATGGGTTTTTATTTGTTGTAAAGCAGAGAGATTCTGAAATACCCAAAAGTCAGTGATTACATTTTTTCCCTTAAACGTTATAACTAACAATTTTTTGAAGATTATTAGAAGTGGGGCCTATAATAATGTAATGAAATGAGGGTATTAGGGATTATTTAGAGGAGTGGAAACAAGTTTTTTTATACTTATCTTAAATCCCATTTTGTTTTTTTAGTCTACTTATTTGGTTTCTTTTTATTTTTAGAATAGAATAAACAATGAAAGGGGAGAGAGAGAGAGAGAGTTAAATAAGTGTTGTATAATTAAAAAAACCTATAGATTTGCATAACAAGATTTTTTAAAATACAGGTTTACTTAAATTTTTTAATCTATTGATAGTTATACAACATACAATGCTAAACCGAAATACAAAGCCCATGATGGCAAACAAAATAAATTACTTAGTTAAATAAAATTGCTTAGTTAAAACATACTGCAGTTGAAATACTAAATTTAATATATATAAGCTAGGAACCTCTATGCCTTAAAGTAAAAAGATTAGGAATGAAGTTGTGGAGGTGAAGTGGTGGTTTTCGTGCTGGTTTGTGTGGAGGATGACTGGAATGAGGGTGGGTCCAACAGTCGGCTTCTCTTCAGCACATTAGGTTGTTTACAGTGTCCACAGGCCTTTGGGACGCAGGAAGAGTCAGATTCTTATGCCACTGGTTCAGACATTTAATGTGAAACCTAATGCATTAAACATTCAATTAAGTATTTTGTGATTTCCATTCTTCTCAAGGTAGCCACAGTTTGTTGTTATCCATACAGTCAGATGCCTTTGCAAAGTCAATTAAACACAGATAAACATTCTTCTGGTACTCTCTGCTTTTGGCCAAGATCCAAGTGCCACACTCCTGGCACCAGCAGTCAGAAAACCAGAAGATTAATTTCACTGGGAAAGTCTGCTGTCAAAGATCTCTCTAGGATACTGAAGAGCAGTGATGTCAGTCTGGAGGCTAAGGTGTGCCTGATACAGGCCACGGTCTTCGCAGTTACTTGCTGTGCATCAATGAGCTGAAAAATGACTAAAGATGATAGGAGAATCAATTCCTTTGAGTTGTGGTGCTAGAGAAGAGTGTTGAACAAATGCATGCAGTTCCTGCCAGGAGAACAAACAGGTCAGACCTGGAGAGGGTGAAACCAATCTGCTCTCTGGAGGCAAGGAATTTGAAGTTCTGTCTCATATACTTTGGGCACATGGCTAGGATGGACCAGTCCTTGGAGAAGAACATCATTCTTGGAAGGATGGAGGAACAGTGCAAGAGAGGAAGACCCAGTGACTGGAGGAATTGGATTAAATATCTTGGAGTCATTGAGATTGACTCAGGATAGGGCAGGGTTCAGAGCTGTTTTGTACATAGAGTCACTATGAGTCATAGGTGACTTGACAGAACATAATAACAACTTCCTATAAACTGGATAGGGACAAAAGTATTATACTAGAAAATGAAATCCTTTTAGAGTTGTTGTATACTATGATCCAGAGCTGACTTAATAGCTGACCCTCCAGTTGATTTCAGAGGCAGTAAACAGTATGGGAAGAGGTCACCCCTCTCTTTCCTGTGGAGCAGCTGATGGGTTCAAACCACCTGCTTTTGGGTTGGCATTGTAACTTCTTGGAATTTGAACCCAGAGTCCCCTTCACTACATAGGATTTATAAACGTAAGGTAAACAAAAAAGGAAGGAAATGAAAAAAAAATATGTTTGATAAAGCCAGCTCATTCAATGAGTTGAATGCAGGCTGCTCATTCATGAATTTATTAGTGTTTGTTGAGTACCAGATGACAGAGTTCTAGGAGGAAAGCATACACTTTGCAAAGAAAGGAAATGTTATACAACAAGAGTGTTTCACAAAATTTAATGAAGAAAACCTCACTGTGAATGTGACATTTTGAGGGAAAATGAGAAGGTGAGAGAATGAATCACCAGGGTATCTGGGGAAAGTCTCCAGGTAGAGCAGTCAGTGTGTGAGATTGCTGAGGCCAGCATGTGCCTGAGACCTCAGAGGAACAGGAGGACAGCATGGAGGCCGAGACAGGAGAGTGGTAGAAGAGTCTGGAGTCTAAAAATCACCACTCTGTGTGAGACTGAATAATAACAACAGCAAAGTTGATGGGGAGTATGAAACTAGAGAGGCACAGCATTCAAAAACGTCATTGGTGCCAAATAACAAAAGTACCCAATAGACATGAGAGCAGTTTGACATACACTAGAATTAAGAAAATACATTACTATACAAGAAGTATAACACTTTGTCTTGAAAGAGAAAGACCTAAATTTTGCTGTTGAACATCTAACGGGCTTAGATTGTGAGTTATTGTGAAACAGAGCCAGAATGTTTTTTGAAACCAGAGGGGTGTCTGAAAATGCAGGCAGTGCACATAAGGCTGGTGAAGCCTGTGGTATATGAGCCATTTTGTGAAAATGTGGTGTGGTTTAGCTGGGTGCAGCTGCCTGCATTTACCTAGTGTTTCTCACAGAAAAAATGACGTGGACGTAAATAGAAATTCTCCTTGTGATCAAATGACTCCTAATATATGTATTCCTAACAGATTAATGAAATCTTTAGTTCCTTCAGCTTAACAGATGCTGGGCAGATTCAGTCCTTTTGATTTTCTGACTCTAGCTCTTTGCACATTTCATTATAATACTTTCCTTTGTCTTCCTGAGCTGCCCTTTGAAATCTTCTGTTCAGCTCCTTAGTTTCTTTATTTCTTCCCTTTGTTTTGTCTTCTTGGTGCTCTAGTGCAATATTCACAATCTTGTTTGACATCCATCTTGGTCTTCTCTTCTTCCTCTGTTTTGGTAATGACCTTTTGCTTTCTTCATGGATGATACTTTTGATATCCTCCTACAACTCATCTGGTCTTCGCTCATTGGTATTCAAGGCCTCAAACCTGTTCCTGAGATGGTTTTGAAATTCTGATGGAATAGACTCAAGGTCAAATTTTGGTTCCTCTGGATTTAATTTTCTTAAACATCAGCTTGAACTTGCATATGAGTATTTGCTGGTCTTTTCCACAGTCAGCACCTTGCCTAGTTTCACAGATATTGACCTTCTCCAGTCATTTCCCCCCCCCCCCCACTCCCAGATGTAATCTGTTTGATTCCTGTGCATACCATCAGGTGAAATACATGTGTATAGCCTGCATTTGTGGTTCTTATAAAAAGTATTTGCAATGAATAAATCATTGATTGTATAGAATTTTATCATTCTATCTCCAGCTTCATTTCTGTCTCCAAGTCCACATTTTTCAACTGAAGCTTCTTTTCTGTTCTCAACTTTTGCATTCCAGCCACCCATTATTATTAATGGATCTTGATTGTATGGTCAATCATTTCTGACTGCAAAAGTTGATAGGAATCCTTTATTTCTTTCTCTTTGACTCTAGTTATTGGTGCATATATTTGAATGATAGTCATATTCACTGGACTTCCTTGTATACATATGGATATTATCCTGTAAATCACAACATTGTATATCAGGATGGATCTAGAAATGACATTTTAAATACAAAAGCAACCCCATTTTTCCTCATCTCGTCTCTGGCATAGTAGATCATATGATTGTCTGACTCAGAATGTCCACTGCATTGTGTGTTATCATATACATTATATTTCACACATTCTTACATTCATGTTGTGTTTGATATGATCATTCCCATATGTTGTGTTTTATAAAATGAATCACCATCAATCTGTGCCCACTATTACTCTGTTTTTTCAGGTCTCTGTCTTTCCTAATTCCTTCACCTCTTCCCTTCACTCACCAGGTCTGTTACCCCGTGATTTTTCCCCCCTCTTCACCCTCACCCACCCTGCTTCCTCTTCTTACCCCTTTGGATTTTCATGTCATTGTGAAATGTTGTGGTTTTTTTCTTTCTTTTTTTTCAGTCAGTAGGTTTTCTTTTCATCCTATTGGAAGTTTTTGATGTGCACAGGGACTTAATCTTTAGAAGGTCCCATTCATCAATGTTATCCTTTCCTGGTTGTGCCTAACTCTGCTGTTAACAAGCTTATCTCCAGGGCAGCCCATTCCCTTCCCTTTTAATACTTCATATTCAGCGTTCATTTATAACATACACTTTTTTTATCCTCTCCAGTTTTTTATTTGCATTTAACCACCAATACACACTGTGCTTTACCCTTGCACATTGTGTTCTACACCATTCCTTTTGCACACTGTACTTCAAAGACTTGACTACCACTTATCCCCATCTATTATCACACTGTCTCCTCCCTTAGTCCCTGTAAAATCTTCCTCCAGTCTCTCTCCCTCTGTCCAGCACCTTCATCATCCCAGTGATCATTTCCCCTTTCCCTCTTTTTGCCTCCCCATTTCATTGGTTTTTATGCAATAATTTTACATTGTGCTTCATACAATCAACTATATTGGTTGTGTTTTATATAATTAATTTCCATTGATCTGTGCCTACTATTTACAATGTCATTTTACGTTTCCATTGTTTCTTTCCTTGTCTTTCATCACCCCCCCACCCTGTCTTTCCACTAAACTCTGCTGTCCTAGTGATTTCCATTTTTCTCTTTTACTATTCTCTTCCCTCTTTCCCCTACCCCTTTTGGATGTTTTTACAAATTTTACTACTTATCCTTCTGTTTTTACAATAATGATGCTATGCAGTATTTGTTGTCCTAATGAGACTGAGTTCACTCAGCATAATGTTCTCCAGACTCTCCCATTTTATATGCTATTTTAGAAAATGATTATTCTTTAGTGCTGCATAGTATTTCATTGTGTGAATGTACCACAGTTTCTCAATCCATTTATTTGTTGATAGGTACCTGGGCTGTTTTCATCTCATTGCTTTGTGAATAATGCTTCTATGACCATAAGTACACATATCTCCA